CTTAAGTCAGGCTGAATTGGGTTTCTTACCTCTTTATGGATCATTTCACTGTTGGCTGTGATGCCTCACACACATGCATACACACATACATACACACACACATACATACACACATACATACACACACAAACACAATATGCCTCACACACATACATATGCCACACACATATGCCCCACACACACACACACACACCCACACCACACGCCGCACACACAAACCAACACACACACACACACACAATCCACTCCACACACCATACATCATGTACACATACGCACCACACATACAACATACAACACACACACAAAACACACACCACACACACAACACACACACACAACACACACGCACACACATACACACCACACACAACACACATACCACACACATACTACACACACACACCACACACCACACACACATACCAACACACACCATGTACACATATGCACCACACATACACCACATAACACACACACAACACACACATAACACACATAACACACATACATACACATCACACACACCACACAGAACACACAACATACACACCACACACATAATACATACACAACACACACAACACACACCATGCACACATATGCACCACACACACAACACACATGCACCATACACACAACACACACACAACACAACACACACAACACACACTCAACACATATACCACACCACACACACACACACACACATACCACATACAACACACCCCCACATACTCACCACCACACAACACACACACACCACATACCACACACACACCACACACATACCACACACACACCACACGCACACCACACATACCACACACACACACCACACGTACACCATACATACCACACACAAGACATACACAACACACAGACACATCACACACACTCATACCATACACACATACCACACACACCACACACACAACAAACACGCACCCCACAACTCACACACAACAAACATGCAACACACATACAACATACACACAACACGCCACACACACTGATCATGTCACGCTGCATTTAAACATGTGCTAAAGCTACTGTGTTCTTTGAGCCTATACTTGGAATTCTCTATTGCAACATTTACGACTAGGTGTTGGGGCCAGAGGAATGGCTCGGTGGATAAGAGCACTGGCTGCTCTTGCAGAGGACTAGGTTTCATTCCCAGCAACCACATGGCTGCTCATAATCACCTGTAACTCCAGTTCTAGGGGACCTAATGCCCTCTTCTGACCTCCTCAGGAACCTGGCAAAGCCACATACATTTGTGCAGGCAAAATATTCATACACAATAATACGCACACATACATATATATACTAAAACATCAGGTCTTGATATTTATCTCCTATTATAACCTCTCAGTACTAGCTATTTCTATATTCTGCATATTCTATGTTTTAAAGCTATATGTATGCTAAACATGGTAGGTTTGCTAAAAAAAAATAATAATTACAATTCTTGGACTATTTCTTGCCCTTTCTTCCTTGGAATGGTTTTCCTGCCCATCTGGTGTTGAGCAGTGTGTGACAAACCTCAGAATTACTAGTTGCTATTGTGGGAACTTCTTGCTACATCTAGAGGAAAGCCAGTGTTTTTCTAAGTGTCTATAGTCAGCCTCAGAAATCAATCCCTGCCTCCTGTTGCCATGCCCTGGGTGCTTCCCTCCCCTTGCTCGGGGGCTGGATTCGGTGATCCACCTTTAATAGCTTCAGTGGAAACAAGGAGGTGTCACTTCTAAGTCAGTTATAAAAAGACTGTAACTTCTGACTCCGGGAATTCTCTGGGAAGCGTGCCACTGTGTTATAAGAAACTTTTAGAGAGAGGTATGTGGCAAGAAAAATGACACTCTATCAGACAGACAGTGGGGACATGAGGTCTGCCCAAAGTGTGGAGATGACTACAATGTCAGCCAACTTAACTTCTGCCTATGGGACCTTGAGCCTAAAGCAGCCATGTGCTTAGATTCCTTTATGCCAAAAAGGGGAAACAGCGTTGGTTGTTATAAGGTGTAATCTTGGGAGGGGTGACCTATTACTCAGTGATGGATGAGCAGTACAGTGGGAGGACCTTTCTTTTAATTCTCATGACAGTTTACAGTTCTGTAAGTCAGGTGGATTATTGTTTTGGAATGGGAAAGTTTTATCTGATCCTTCCTGAGCTCTTTAGGGCTCTGTGGCAAGCTATTGACTTTGATGGTGACTTCAGGATCCTGAATGGCCCTATTCACATCTAATGGCTAGTACTCAGGGGCTAGGAACACCGCCTCACCACAGTCACTTGACAACTTCAACAACTTAACTCGGGTTGCTCTCCTAGGGTATGTCAGCAAGAAAGTGAGCACCAGCATACAAAAGCTTTTCAAGCCTCTGTGATACCCACTATGCTAATGTCCTTTTGGCCAAAGTGAGTCACATGACCAGCACATGCTCAGAGCATAGCAACGTAGATGAGCCCCCATTGAAGGGGTGATCTGCAATCTCAAATTATAAGAATTAGGATGGAGAGCCAGGTGGTGTTGGCACACACCTTTAATCCCAGTACTCAGGAGGCAGAAGCAGGTGGATATCTGTGAGTTCAAGGCCAGCCTGGACCATACAGGGAAACACTGTCTCAAAAAAACCAAACTAATAAAAGAATAAAGGAATGGGCACGGCTAAACCCAACTAAGACTCCTAGCAATATCAGATCTGTCTAGTGTACTGGCCCATCTCCTGTGACCAGATTGGTGCCTAGCCCAGTTGTCATCAGAGAGGCTTTATCTACCAATGGATAGGCTTTGTATGGACATTTTCCCCTCACAGAACTTTTGCTAATATACTATTTGTTTCTGATTTTGTTTTATGGGTTTTCTGTATGTGCAAATGTGTGTGTTGGTTGGTGTCTGTGTCTATGTTTTTTTATGCTTCTCTTTGGCCGTTTTTTGTTAATTTTGTCCTATTCTGGTTTGTTTTTATGTTATCTAATTTTATTTTGTTATTATCATTTTTAGTTGCTTGTTTCTGTTCTAATGAGAGAGAAAGAAAGGGTGTGGATTCAGGTGGGTGGAGAGTGGAGCAGGATCTGGGAAGAGTTGGGGGAGGAGAAATCTTGATCAGAATATACTGTATAAAAAAAATCTATTTTCAATTTTTAAAAAGCACAACAAAACAGCATCACAGAGAATTGTTCTCCTTGTTCTCCACTACTACAATGTTTTGTCCCAAATTCCTTTTTGCAGAGGAGAAATCTGGTTCTCTTGAGTAGGGCTTGCACAGGCGCACTCAGCCAGTGACATAATCAGAACCATGCAGTCCTTTCTCTCCAAATCACATCCCATGAATTTCATCACATGCCATTTCCCTCTCTTTCCCTCTGGCCCCTCATAGCCACTTTATTTCTTCTGTAGAAAAAGCCCTGAATCCACCCATGAGAACAGCACAGGAGAAACACAATCTCTGTGGGCATTCTCCGTCCCTTGCAAAATCGAAGAGGCCAGCTTGGATTAGTGAGTTAGACCACTAGGCATTTTGAGTATGTGGGAACTCACAAATCCAAACACATCATGGTAACTAAAAACTAACCCTGAAGGGCAATCAGGAAATCTCCTTGATGGAGGAGAATATCCACTCACCCCTTTTGATGACACTTGGGCATTTGTGGTTGTCTTAGTTTGTGTTTTTATTGCTGTGAAGAGACACCATGACCAAGGCAACTCTTATTAAAGAAAACATTACATTGAGGGGGCTCACTTACAGTTTCAGAGGGTCAGTTCATTATCATTACAACAGGGAGCATGGCAGTGTGCAGGCAGACATGATGCTGGAGTTGAGAGTGCTACATCTTGCAGGCAACAGGAAGTTGACTGACTGTCACACTGAGTGAAGCTTGAGAACAAGACCTCAAAGCTCACCCCCAACACACTTGCTCCAACAAGGCCACACCTCCTAGTAGTGCCGCTCTTTTCATGGGCCATTCTCTTTCAAACTACCATAGTGGTCTACATTGCCTTAATATTCTTAGCAAACTTTCCTGCTGTTAAAAAGCTTCTGCTGCTGTGGGCTCCTCTGAGAGACATCTTGGCATTTGTGTGGTGTTTTGCATTTATACACAGTATTTTCAAGCACATATATTTGATCCTATTTTGTGAACTGGAAACTGAAGCCCAGAGAGGTTATAAAATCCTCTTGAGGTTAAGATGCTCATGGGCTCAGCATGAAAAATAGTTGGTCTCAATAATAAAAACCCAGAGACTAATATTGGGATTCAAGTTGAAGGTCAGAGAAGCAAAGCGTGCAGCCACTGGAGAGTTCTCACCTCTACCAATGCTCAAACCAAAGGGGCAATCTTGTCCTCTGATTACATCTCCAGACTGCACTATTCCTTAGACTGCCCCTGTCTTCACACTAAACCTCAGACTGCCTCAACCTGTTCCTGTCTCCTAGTGCTGGGATTAAAGGCATATCATCCCTAGTGCTGGGATCAAAGGTGTGAGCTCTGTTTTTCTTTTAGACTGTTCACTCTCATGTAGCTCAAGATGGTCGTGAACTCACAGAGATCCATCTACCACTGTCTCTCAAGTGCTGGGATTAAAGGTGTGTACCACCACTGCCTTTCCTTTATAGCTAACTAGTGGCTTAGTGTGTGTGGCTAACTAGTGACTTAGCTCTTCACTCTGATATTCAGGAAAGCTTTATTATATGATAAACAAAATACCACCAGGATTTGGATTGGCTCAGAACACTGGTGCAGCAAGGGTCTTCCTGGGCTATGACAAGGAACTTATTCCCAGCATGCACTGTGCCATGCTGGCCTTACAAGGTGTTCACAAAAAACCAACCAATCAAACAAGCAAAACCCAATAAATGTAAGATACTGCATATCAGGGTACATTCATTGAAGAATGCTATTAGAGACTGATGGTGTAGGGTAGCCCTCAGACCTTGTACATGAGGGAACTGATAGCCACGAATGCAGAATGCAAAGTATGTAAAATCACATGATGACTTACTTAGGGCCACAGAAGAATCCAGCATTCCAAACTCTGATGTGATGCTCTTTCCCACTCCTCATGAAGACTGTGCTTAAATGTTTACCTAGTAGAGAAAAAATAATTTTGGCTATGTTAATACTCAAACCAGAGCCATAATTTGAATAAAAAATCTTACTTTTAAAAAAAGGGAAAAATACTATCCTGGTTTTGATTCACCTGTGTGCTGTCAAAACCACAAGGTTGGTAACAGCTAGCGTTTCTTGTGTCAAAAATTAACCGCACTTTCTGAAGCACAGTCTAAGATTTTTTTACAGACTTGGAAGTTGAATGTGTTTGAAGATGAAAGTTCTGAGCCTTAGAAGAATAAGTTAGCTTACAGATACTGCTCACTGGTTAAGAGGAGAGACCACAATTTAAAGTTGAGTCTGTCTGACCCTAGACGTGTTCAAAAACCATCTTAAATGTCCTCTGGTTTTTAATCATGGGTGGGTACTGAGTCCCAGCACCAGATTAAGACAACTGAGGCTCACCACTTGTGGGCTAAGTTGTCACCTCCTCTCCCCCCAGTTAGAGATGTGTGACTACTCTGACTGTTGAAACACCTGCCTTCAAGAACCAAGTAACTACTGGATTCCTAGAGGACCCTGCTGACAGAGCAACCAAAAATACTTTAAAAGATATGGAAATCCATACTATACACCCTTGTTACCCAGACTTCAATGACGCTCAAAACCACCTAGGGAGTATTTGCAACAGGCGGCCATGCTGTCATTATACAGTATTGTACTGCCTGGCCCTTCTCAACACACCTACTGAATAGTAATTTGTTTTACATTTGCAAATCCAGCAACTGGCCTTGGCCAACAATAGCATGTCGCTTTCTTGTAAATATTGTCCAATCTGGAGTTATTTCTAATTTGCAAGCCAAATGACTCCTGAATACATAAAGACCTAGAGAATGTGATTCAAATTTGTTGCTGATGGGGCTGGGGAAATGGCTCCGCAACTCAGAGCACATATGTTCTCCCAGAGGACCCAAGTTCAGTTCCCAGCACCCACAGCAAGCAGCTCACAACCACACGTAATCCCAGCTCCAAGGGGATCTGATGCCCTCTTCTGGCCTCCACAGGCACCTGCACACCAAGTGCGCACACCCACACACTCAAGCGCCCAGTGTACATAATTACAAATAAGTCTCCTTAAAAAATTGACTCTGACACAGTTTAGATTATAAAGGTGGTCTCAGCCTTCCTAATGCTGCAACCCTTTAATACAGTTCCTCATGTTGTGGTGACTCCAACCATAAAATTATTTTGCTGCTACTTTGTAATTGTAATTTTGCTATTTGAATTGTGATGTATATATCTGATATGTAGGATATCTGATATGTGACCCCCAAAGGCATTGTAACCCACACACAGGCTGAGAATCACAAAACTTCAGAGATTTAATAGTATGGACCCAAGCCTAACACCACAGCATAGTGTTAAGACCAGGCCACTCCTTGCTCTAACTTATTGGCTTTGGCTCTGTTTTGGAAATGGAGGATGACCTGGCACCTGGATAGATGTGTCAATGACACCATCTTTCCAGCATTGGCCACAAGGCACAGAGTGACAGGTGACTTACTCCTGGAAGTTAAAGGGATGCTACCCTATAAAGTTACAAGGTGAGTCTGCAAGGGTACATGGGCATGTTACAATTATATTGTAACTGTAACTCTTTCACCTGGACTCCATACAGTGATGGATACCTAACCCTGAGATGACAAGAGCCCCTATGGATCCCCCAGTTGACCACCTGCTATGTGCATCAGGCAGAGAACTCTGGACCATACCCAGCTGGGCTGGATCCCCACTGTTGATAAGAGTTCACTCAACTGCCATCTACCTGTCCTCCTCTCTATCTCTCTGGATCTTCTGTCCATCCATCCACTCATCCCTTCATCTGGTTGCAGCTCTGCATCTGGGCTCAACTCCACAGCTTCACTCACAAATCTGACTTGCAATGGCTTGATCCCAGCTACACAGCATCTCCAGCTTCTGCTTATTAGCAAGACAGATTCCACGTGTGTCCCTATCAGCTTGCCTGTTTCTCAGGATTTCTGAAACCTCTTGAGTTCTTTTGTGGCCTCTCAACTCTTTATAGTCACCTATAGAGTGTGTGTGTGTGTGTGTGTGTGTGTGTGTGTGTGTGTGTGTAAATATTTATTAAATATATATTAAATTTAAACATGTTTATGTAGAATATATTACTCTGTATTAATAATATGTAATCTGAGAGTACCTATTAAAAATTAAGATTAGAATAAGAAAAAACTGTGTTTACTTCATCCATGGTTGCCAAGGAAAATGGGACTATCTGGCAAATTTCTACCATTAAATTTCCTATACCTTGGGACTATCAAGGCAGCTCAACAGTTAAGAGCACTTGTTGCTCCCAGCACCCACATGGTGGCTCATAACATCTGTAACTCCAGTTCCAGGGGATCTAACTCCCTCTTCTGGCCTCACAGGACATCAGGCATATACTTGGTGCACAGATATACATGCAGACAAAACATTCATATAAAAGTTTTTTTTAAAACAAAATATACATTAAAAATGACAGTACCTTTCAAATCATTCCTGACACTGTGGAAGGACACAGAGGTCTTCATCTACATTTCTGACACATTTCAGGAAATGCTTAGGGAGGCCTCAAGAACATTTAAATAAGTCCACAGAATTGTTTCTTCATGATTCAAAAAAAAAGTGTGCTGCCTTTACTATATACTGGCTAAAAAAAGAAAGAGAAAGCAAGAGGATGCTGGGAGCTCACTGACTGACATGGAATTCTTCTTGAGGTGTGTGTATGAACAGAATAGAATACAGCTTGAATTCTCAGGAGTCTAATTTCAAGTATTCCTCCTACTATGCCTTTATAGTTTGAAAAAGGTAGATGGTCCCAATGCTTTGACATGTCCAGGATGTTAAATAATACACTAGCAGTTAGCTCACAGCTGACAGTGAAACTACAGCCACCACTTCATTCCAGCAAGTTATTTCTACCTTGGAAGAAAACAGCAAGAGTCCAATTTCACTCGCTTTAACCTTTTCTACAGGAAAGCCTGAGAATGTGTCAACAAAAAAGTCATACCAGAACTAAAAGAAAAGCATCTAAAAGTCACTGGACATCATTTCATTTCCTTGCTATCTCTAAGATGTGAAAGTTCTAAGAAATTATTTTAGAAAGATAAATATGAGCAAGAGTGTGTCGAGATGGCGAGAAGCTACTCTCAAGCCTTCGTTCCCTCAGCTCACAATCACAAGCTCTCATGCATTTCCTTGTGAACCTCGACACACACTGCTCTCCTCATTCAGCTGCTGAACATCGAAACTAAAACCATTGTGTCCACACCTTCAACATCCACTTGAGAACTGCTGCAGATGACTGGGGGGCAGAGTGCAGGACCTATGAAAGTTACTATGTGCCCATCCTTTACCTCACACCCAAACTAGATTTCAACTTGAGACTTAGAGTAACCATCTGCTATTAACCTATTTGATGCCACAGTGAATTTGGAATAATGTATCCTATTTATTCACAGTTGGAAACATGGATAAATACACATTTCACTGAAGAGATGCCTTAGGCTTCAGCAACCGAGAAGAGATTCCCTGTTATTTTTTTGTTATGTCATCATTTTGCTGTGAAATATTTTACAGAAATACAATAAAAATTATTTGGTACTTAGCACTGGATTTTGTCATTTGTCACAAGTGTACACACACACACACACACACATACACACACACACACACACCCCGTATCCCATCTCTGTCTTTTCCTCTCACCCCTCCCAAATGTCTACTTTAGGAGAAACTTTCTAAAACACCAGCCACTCAGATTTAACAAGACATACTGTTAATCCTCAGTCTTCAATTTTTATTAGAATCTCTCCAACTTTCTCAGCAGTCTCCTTTGTAGAACTTTTTGTCATTCAGGATCTGTTCTAGAATTCTTCTGGAACTTAGCTTTTACGTTTTCTTAGTTCCCTTTAATGTGAAATGAATCTGCAGCTTTTGTCTTTCATGACAATTAGAGTCTTACCATTATTTTTGAAGAAGTAGGAAAGATGAAAATGTGTAGCTAGATTCAATAAAATTATAATATTGGTTGGTTCAATAATAAAGTGTTTTAACTCAATATTAAGTGTTTTATGCACCTAAGATTTCATATGCAGAACACAAACAGAATCAAACAAAAGGAATGTTTAGAAGCTTGCAGTATTTATGTAAGTCCATAGGTTTCTTTGTAACTGGAGTTACAAAGGGCTCTGCCTAAGATTAAATTGATTGGTGTTTTCTCTGTTGCTTGGAGACCAAACTTATTGATCTAGGCTTCGTTACTTTATAACTAATGTAGAAAGGAAACAAAGAGACCAGGAATAGGAAAAAAAAAAAAAAACTACACCAGCTCATGAAGGTTTCAAGGTCATTTACTACCTCAAATGTTCCGAGGGAAATGCACCAGGATAAGAAAAATGGCAATGTCACCTTGCCTTATTAAAATGTCTTAAAGAAGCCAAAATAAGGTTAAAGTATTAATCCATCTTCTTGGTTTAATAAAAGTCTTAACAGGTGAGTGAAGGAACAAGGAGAATGTAAAGAGGGTGAGACAAATCTAAGTCTAAGTTCAAAACAAATGTGTGTATGTGACACAAGATGATTTGTAGCCTGTAAGCAAATACATAAATATAAAAAATTAGGAAAGAATCAATGAAACACCATGCTATTTGCTGTGCACTGAATAGGTAACATTTAGAAAAATCTTGACACTTTTAAGTTAAAAATCAACTTCAAAGAGTCAGACCTGGAGTGAAGAAGTTTCAGAGATAGTGTACACATATATGCTTCCTTTTATGTCTGTATAAGGAGCATTTTATTAAATTGTCAGCATAAATAAGCTTAAGTGCTCGTTGAACATTCTAAGCATCAAGACAGCAGAGGGATATAACTTAATTGGAGGATTTTGTCTTAGTTGTACATAAAATAATAGTGCATTTTACATTAAATGCCTTCTTAGATTAGATGGATATAATCCAATTACAGCTGTTATTTATGAATCAAACTTATCTAACCAAAGGGTTTTGAAGGTGGTGATGCTGAGGAGTTGGCACAACAAACACACAGACATATCTGAGCAGTGGCTGTATTGATGGGAAGTTGAGTCAGTGGTCACAGTAGATGTTTCAAAGCCCAGCAAGCCTTCACTTGTGTGGTGACTAAGCAAGGGTGACTATATCGAGAGATGATCTGTAGTCCATAAGGTTAAGATATCTTTATTCAGACAAACACCAGCCAAACGCAAGCCAGAGCGTGCCAGGGACCACAAGGCAGGCAGGCCAGAGAGAAGGGGCTTCCATGTGCCTTGCAGCCCCTTAAAAACCTATTAAAAACCTTATTAAACCTTAAAAACCACAGGCATGGTCAGGGACACTTGTAGCCAGCCCTTAGGAGGCGTGGTTATGGTGTCACCCTACAGGTAACAGACAAAAAAGTCAAGCAAAGGGAAACAGCGCTTAGAGATGGTTTGGAGAGAGAGCTGTGCTGGTCTTTTCAAGTTAGCCTATAGCCATTGTTCCCATTTGGGCTAATTCTATGTGCTGGTTATGCCCGTCAGCCCAGCAGCTATAGCCTCCATCCCCTGAGTTGTTTCTATGTTATCGGTGTGCTTGTATTCTCACTACTTCATACCATAAACCCATAACCCAAGGGAGAGCCACACCCCTGAGTCCTCCATAACACCAACAAATGCTAAAAGTATAGTAGTCAACAAGGAGACACCCTCTACTGTGAACACCAAATTCAGTCAGGCATGGCTCAGCCTGCCTTTGCCAAAGATGCCAAGGAGTCTGATGACTTCCTAATCTCAATTCATACTCATTGCTTGCCTTTTGGCAAACACTGAGCTGAACTCCTTCTTCCAGTATATAGCCATGGCTGGGGTTCTGGTGCTGTGTCTTCCTCAGGCATTTGGCTTCCAGTCTGCTTCAGATCCAGTCAACCCCCACAAGCACTTCTGGGCATCTCCAGCAGGTGGCTCAGCTACGCTTCATAACACCTCTCTTCTGACTGATTGCAAAGGCAAGTCGAGGTAAGGTGGGTTGCTGGTGCCAGGGTGGCCCAACCTATGAATGCCTGGCTATTCTAGGGAAATTAGGACTGGCCCTAGAGTAGAGTGGGCACAATGTTCATTTTCCTGGTCAACTAAAAGCATGGGAGCAGGCCTGTGGGCTTGCGAAGCCACTTTGGAAATACCATTATCCAACTAGCTCAGGTTTTGTTACACCTTCTATGTGTAGGCTTTCCAAGTAAAAGCCTACCCATGGACTGGCTTGCTAGTTTTCATCTTAAGCCCAAAAGTTAATGTTTATCAGCCCAATATTATTAATTACTACATCTGCCTTTATGCCGGGCCCTCTTGGGAGCCTCCACAGTCCCCACAGGCACAGGCCTCTGAGGAGCTCCGTGGGCATGCCCACACATGGCCTGATTTCAGGGCTGTTCCACTAAACAAGATGCTGTCTGTCCTCAGTGAGGGAAAGACAGCATTTATGACGAGTTGTTTCCCTCAACTATTCAATTTAAAAGGGATCATTTTGTGTTGATAATGCATTAAAAAGTCTAAGACAACACAGGTGTGAGAAAACCAGTATAAGAAAGGCGGTTTATCTAATGCCCACAGGGTCATCCTAGGAGAATTAAGGTTTTCACCTCATTTTGGAGATGCATATTTTTAAGGTAATGTAATGAATTCCTGCTCTGGGCAATCTCTCACGGTGGAGACTTGTCATGAATAAAACAATAACATTTACGTGGTTTTGAAATTGCTCAGACACGCAGTTATTTACTTTGTGAGTTAAAACACTGCCTCTGGATTGAGGCGTGCAGTGGCTTCCATAAGTGAAGCTTATGTCAAAAGAACGAAGGGCTTTGCAGGGAGTTGCTTCTCCTGCTGTTTAACAGAGCTCAGCGTTCTACAAGAGCGGCTGATCACAGCTCGCTTCCATGAGTGAGACAGCAAACTACACAAATCTGTCCACTAAACCCATTAAGTCAAGAAATTAAATAAGAATTGGGTATGGTAGGGTTTCAGGGAGGAAACCTCGGAAATCTACGGGACCTCCTGTAGTAGTTCAGTACTTATCCCTAGCATAGGTGTGGACTTTGGGAGCAATTCCATTTAGAGGAATATTCCCTGAGCCAAGACACATGGGGGTGGGCCTAGGCCCTATCCCAAAGGATACAGTAGACTCTGATGACCCCCTATGGAAGGCCTCACCATCCAGGTGGAGCAGAAAGGATATGTGATAGGTAGGGTTTTAGTTGGGGAGGTGGTAGGGGAGGACGGGAGGGAGAAGGGAACTGGGATTGTCATGTAAAACAATCTTGTTTCTAATTCAAATTTTAAAAATCTGCAAAAAAAAAAAAAAAAAAAAAAAACTTCCTCAGAATACATGCTTTACAATAAAAGCCGAGTTCAAATGTTAAAAAAAAAAAAGAATTGGGTATGGTAAATAGAGAAAGGAAGGCTTATTTTTAAACTGAATTTTCTAGCAGATCACAGTCAAGGCAGCCGACTCTCTAACCCCCTCTTCTGGGAACTATCAGTATTGTGTGTTTGGAAAAAAAAAGATTTTTTAAAAATGGGTTATGTTTTATTTTAAGAATTCCAATATTTTCCTTTTAACTTCAGCCATAGTTTTCCCATGATTATCTTGATTTCATAATCTCTTCTTAGCCTCTGGAGAAGTAGTGAATTATTCATCTCTGACTTACAATTATTGAGACTAATTAAAAAGCTAAATCTTTTAGAGAGATTAATACAGGCAGAGACTGAGAAATCACTCAGTTTTCCATTGTTTCATTTTGCTTTGATAACCAGACTTGCTCAGATAAATAATATTCAGTGATTCATTAATCTAGACAACATTCACCTGAGGAAATCAAACAGCTTTTACCTGTCCCTGATCAACAAGCCGCTTCCCTTTCTCGCCCTTGGCCTCCATACCCACCCCTTCCCATCTAGAGAGAATCCACATTCCTTTCCAGTCAGTCAGTGCCACTCTTCCCTGATCCCACAGTTCAGCATCTTAAACTGTCTTGGTGAGTGAGCTAAGCCTTGACACCAAGCCATAAACAGGTTGCCAACTGTAACCCTCCTGGGACACTGCGGATGTCCATGTACACGATGTACATTTCAAAAGCTGGGCAGAACGCTCCCATGTTCATGATTTCATTTCAAACGGATCCTTGCTAAATTCCATGTACACGATGTACATTTCAAAGGCTGGGCAGAACGCTCCCATGTTCATGATTTCATTTCAAACGGATCCTTGTAATAAACGGCCCATGGCCATGGCCTGCAATTGCCATACCAGACCTGTGAGTAGCCACTGACTCACTTCACAGCAGCACCAAGCTCCGGGCCTTCTGGCATTTCCTTGACTTTGTGCAGCATGCAGCCAGCCTCCTCTGCTTCATATGACCCAGAGGACACAAACAAGGCCATCCATTCAAGAGCCAAAACCTCATTGTTACTCTCCTCTCAAAATCAGCATGCCCAGCATGTACCCTTAGAAAGAGCCTTCTTCAAAATCTCTCACCTGTCATTGCCATATAGTCCACCTTTGAAATTTCGCTAGGGCAAGGTTAGTTTTTATGATATAGCTTTACACTAAAATAAATTATTTTCCTAGGAGGATTCATTGGAACTAACGCTGCTACTCACTTCAAAGTCACACTAGTTTTTACTGCTCTCAAATCATAGTTAAAACGCATGTGGATGTGGATGTGAACAGGTTCGGGTGCATATGTGTAGAGGCAGAAGACAACCTAAAATGTCATCTACCTTTTTCTTTTAGTGACAGAGTTTTTCATTGGCCTCAACTCACCAAGAAAGCCAGCTTGGTTGGCTACTGTCTTAGGGTTTCCATTGCTATGAAGAGACACTATGACTACAGCAACCCTTACACAGAAAGTTTCATTGGTGGGGTTCACTTACAGTTTCAGAGGTTTAGTTCATTATCATCATGGCGGGAAACATGACAGCATCCAGGCAGACATGGCGCTGGAAGAGTAGCTGAGAGTCCTATATCTTGCAGGCAACAGGAAGTCGATTGAGACACTGGGTGGTATCCTGAGCATAGGAAACCTCAAAGCCCGCCCCCACAGTGACACACTTCCTCCAACAAGGCCATAGCCACTCCAACAAAGCCACACCTCCTAACAGTGCACTCCTTTTGAGATTATGGGGGCCAATTACAATCAAACTACCACAGCTTGTGGGCAACTAGCATCCACTTGTCTCCGCCTCCTTAGTGCTGGAATTACACCTGGCTTGTTTTGTTTACATGATTTCTAGGGTTCTTCGTGCCTCTGTGGCTAGTCTTTTACTGCCTGGGCTATCTCAGAAGCCCAGATTGTATTTGAAACTCTATGTTTTGGATTCAGGCTGCCTGGCTCTGAGACTTTAAAGTATTTCTATACAATCGACAAAGTCTGGAAAGCTGTGTGAATATGGTTAAAATTTAAAGGAATAAACAGGTCAGTGCTAAGTTTCAATTTGAGAGCACTCAGGAACCTGCAAGCTTATAGCTATTACTTTCTAATGTTCTTTATTAGAAAACAGGGTAGGACTCTGGTCTTTCAGGAACTGGTTTCTTATTCTAATCCCCAGTCCAGGCCCAGCCCCAGCCCTACTCCACCCCAGTGGCCTCTAACAGGAATCCCTCACACACGAGTCCTCTGAACACCTGCTCCCAAATGCTAGTTGGCTTGATTGCAGCTCTTGCTATCCACACAGTAGTCAGAAGATAAAGAAAAACATGAATACTTAGAGCAACACACACTACTCTTTGAAAGCAATTTAACTATGTCCAGGGGGAGAAAGTGCCCAGCTTTTTCCTCTTGACAGCTTTACACTTTAATCTCATGAAGAAGTATCTACCTGAGACCAGCAAACACATCTTCACCAAGTAAATGTAAATGGACCAGGTGTTCAGCTTCAGCTTGGAGGGCAGGTTGTGGGAAGGAAGTTAAAAGATGTGAAGGACATAATAAAGATAAAATATCTGGAGTAGCCTGCACCAACCAGGGGGATAAATAAGCATTACACTAACAAATCTTTGGAGGGCAGGTTGTGGGAAGGAAGTTAAAAGATGTGAAGGACGTAATAAAGATAAAATATCTAGAGTAGCCTGCACCAACCAGGGGGATAAATAAGCATTACACTAACAAATCCGTGAGCTGGCTCTCAAAAAGACATAAAATACTTTAACCTCTAATGATTGATCATGGGACTGGAAAGAAATCAAACGTCCATCAATAACATGATGAGTGGTGTTCTAGTCACCCACTCAACACTATTAATAGAGGATGAAAAATCTCCACCTGCATGTAATACACACAGCAGCCAAGGATGCCATTAAAAAGAAATGTGTGTGGCCGCCCTTGGCCACCACTAAGTCGGAGTATCGGGCGAAAGCCTGGAGATTTGTATGAACGACAAGATGCCCGGTCTGCTTTCTGAGAGACTGTCTCTCACCTTTATTGTGGAGAAGCCTTATATACAAACTTACAAAAACCCCAGGTCAAAGGGTTCACAACAGGATATTGATCCCAGCGGCATGAGGTCAGGAAAACAGGACGTACCTGTAGTTATGCTGGAAAACAACTCTTAGGGATCCCATGGGGGCTGAGTTCCAATATGTGTGTGTGTGTGTATAGCTTATATTTATTTAAAATGCCAAACACAAGCAAAGTAACCTATAATATTAGAAACACAGGTAATGACTACTTTGGGGAAGAAAGATGACTTTTAAGGAGATGTGTGGTGTTGGGCACTCTTGAGATGCAGACAGCAGTGTGTGTCCACAGTTGGTGCTTACTTGGGTGTGTGTTGAATGTTTTATTTTACCGAGCGATACATTTCTAAAATCATTTTAGTTGTTTTTATTTTATGTATATGAGTGTTTTGCTTGCATGAATGTATGTATGTGTACTGGGTGCATACCTGGTGCCCAAGGACATCAGAAGAAGTCAGATTGCCTGGAAATGTGTGGATGGTTGTAAGCCATTGTGTGGTTGCTGGGAATCGAACCTTCATCCTCGGCAAAAGCAATCGCTGAATCATCTCTTCAGCCCTACATTTGAATTATAAGTTTTTAAATGTATATATTCTGATCAATATTTTTTAAAAATTAAATGAAGAACAGAAAATAGAATGCATTAATAAAGAGAGAGCTATCAAAGCATTGGGAACACATAGTTAACAATTGCTGGTACTTACTGTGCACACAATCTTGTGCTATACACACTGCCACGTGTAACTTCACAGTAGACCCAAAGACCAGGGATGCAACTGGGTGACCAAAGGGGAGGAAAAGTCACTCAGCTCAAAGCTCATCTTGACCATGATTTTACACTGTCTGGAATGACTCCAAATCTTAAAACACAACCCACCGTGTGTTCATCACAAGACGCCCAGCTTCCTCTACAGCAGAGTTGGAAAAACTAACCTGCAATTGCCATTGTAGTTCTTATTTTTGTAGAAACACTTTTTATTAATGCTTCCTCAGCACAATCGTTTTTATAATCTAGCACTGAAAACACACCATCCAATCCCAGTTAAGAACTACCCCTTAAGTTAAATCAAGTTAGACTCTCAAGACCATTACATTTTTCTATATTTTTATCATTGTGTGAAGGACACTGAGAGCTTTTTTTATGAATTGGCCAATATGTTTTTATCATGATTGTATGGCTCTAATAGCCTAACCTGAGCAAAGTAAAAGTAGCCCGTGGGATCATGGAATGTAAACCCCCAAAGTCTGAAGGAAAAATTAAGTAAAGAGATTCCAGGCAAATTTAAAGATAATGATCAACATGTATTATTTATTTATTTATTATTATTTTAGAAATTTAGGTGTATTACATGAGTAAAGTTTAGCATCAGGAATCCAGTCACTCAACCATGTATTTACATCTGTTAATGATTGCTAGAAAGACGTAGTACAATAGACAATTGAGAAATCTCAGCAACATTCAACAATAAGTACTCAAAGTTCAGGTGGGTTGGATGGTGGCTGACTCATCTAGACTCATTTCATTTCATCTGAAGAATTCATTTCATCTGGAGAGGCTCACAGAGTTTTTGGAACTCACCAACTTTACATTGTCTACTGATTTGCAGATAAGAAACTGTGACCTATGAGCAAGAAGAAGGAAATGAGACGAAACTGTAGTTATTAAAAAGTGACTATAAAATACCAGGAAAATAGCTAAAAATTGTAATAGGAATTCACAAAGATACATGCTTCTATGATAAGATGTTGCTATGTGTGCCAACAAAACTCAGAAAATATAATGTACATATTTATCATAACAGACGCATGATCTAATCTTTGTAGTAAGTTAAACAAGCTATATATTTTTGAAGCAATCCTCCTTTACTAGAGGATATTACATCAACTAGAAGTAATTGTAAGTAAGTCTTGTTGAACTTGATGAGAAGGTGTTAAATTGTGCTGTCAATTATCAAGATTAAAATTAGCAGGGGCTAGAAGTCTAGTTCCCCAGTAAGAACTCATACTGTGCTCACAAAGGACCTGAATTTAGTTCCTAGGACACACATCAGACAGGCCACAACTACCTGTAGCAACAGCTCCTGGAGAGTCACATGTCTGGCCTCTAGGAATACCTATATATTCATATGCACCTCCTACACACAAGCATACATGCACACACATGATTAAAAATAATAAAAGTAAACCTTTGCTACAGGAGAGCCGGCTTAGTGGTTAAGAGCACTTGTTCTTGCAGAGGATCTGAGTTCTGCTCTCAGCACCCACATGATGGCTCACAACTATGCATAACTCTAATTCCAGAGGACCAATGCCCTCTTCCGATCTCCACAGGCACGCCACACATACAATGCGCATAAACACATGCAGCACGACTCTCATACACATAAAGTATGATAAACAAACCTTTAAAATTATGATAGCCTCTTAATTTCCTGTGTTTTTTCATTTGATTACAAATTTTATCTAGGCCAGGTGTGGTAGCACAAACCTTTAATCCTAGCACTTGGAGTCAGAAGAAGGCAGCTCTCTGTGAGTTCAAGGCCAGCCTGGTCTATACAGTGAGTTCCAGTTCTGCTAGAGCTACATAGCGAGACCCTATTACTACCTGCTCCCAATCATCTGGAATTACAAGTAATGAAGGGATTGAACTATAAAATCTTATTCTCGAAAATATATACTACATAGTTATCAAAAGTTATGTGGTAATGACACAGAAATAAAACTACAGAGACATTCCTATACCTCACCAGTGAGTGTTCGAAACTCCTTTACATGATGGAGAGGCCTGGGGATAATAAACCTTTTTGTGTCTTTTAATAAGCAATTTCATCTTTTAGGGGCTAGAGAGATGGTTTGGTGGTTAAGAGCACTTGATTTTCTTTTTGTTAATTTATTTTTACATTCTAATCCCAGTTCCTCCTCCCTCCACTCCTCCCATTTCCCCCCATCCCACCTCCCATCTGATCCTTGGAGAGGCTAAGGCCTCCCCTAGGAAGTCTACTAAGTCTGTTCCATCATCTCATTGAGGCAGGACCAAGGCACCTCTCCACCCTCACACTCCTGGGTCTAGGCTCCACTAAGTCAGTTTGTGCATTAGAGTTGGATCTTGGACCCACTGCCAGTGGCCTTATATAGTGTCCCACCCACACCATTGTCACCTATATTAAGGGAGTCTAGTTTGGTCTTATGCAGGTTCCCCATTTGTCACACCAAAGTCAGTGATCTCTCACTAGCTCGGGTCAGCTGATTCTGAGGATTCCCCCATCGTGGTTTTGACTCCTTTGCTCATTATGGTTCCTCCCTCACTTCAGTTGTACTCCAGGAGCTTGGCCTAATGGTTAGTTGTGGATTTCTACATCTGCTTCTATGTGTTTCTGGAAGAGGGTTCTAGCTTCTCTGGGGTTGTGGATTGAAGGCTGGGTATCTTTTGCTTTATGTCTGGGATCCACTTATGAGTGAGAACATACTATATTT